TCCTGTGTGTGGCTGTGTGTGAGTTCCTCACTGTTCTCATCATCCCAGCCAAAATTATTGGACGGACCCAAACCGACGGTGTGGAACCCAGGCCAACACTGGAGAAGACCCTCATGAAGTAATATAACTCTGCATTCTGATGGCGCGCTCTCAATCAAAATTTGCGCCCTGTGAAGCATATCTCGCCACGCCGTCCTTCGTGATTGATGGTGGGTAACGCCCACCGTCGAATTTACGAACTGCTCCGGGAATATTGAATGATGATTTCGTTGGCATTATGGGTATCTGCTACGGCAATATCAGCGGAAAGCTGCCAGGAGCTACACGTCCTCCCACGCTAACTGAGTGTGGACGCTGGGCAGACAGATCGTACCGGGCCGCGGACCGCGTGGCGCCGAGCCTCCCTCCCCCCCCCCCCCCCTCCCCCCTCCGGACCGTTGGTGTGGTCGCTGAGACGGCGCTCCAGGAGCGCGGCCGGTGTCCGCCGCCGCGTCGCCCGCTGAGAGTGGGCGGCTGGTGCGACGCGCCCTGGAACGGCGCGCCGCCGTTTCTGGAAAGCCGGCACCGATCCGGCCCGGCGGCGGGCGTCAGACGTGTCAGCCAGACCGGCCTTTGTCTCCTGATTGCAGCCGTATTCAGTTGTCCGGGTGGGCCTGACCTGTCTGTGAAGGATCAGAGCGTTCCTGGAACGGCCTGATTAGCCGTCCGAACGCGCGGCTGCATGGCAGCGGTGTGGCACCGGTATCACACTTGCCCGGTGACCCGGTGCAATGGAATGCTCAAGAAATGGTCTATTTGCGCTCGTCTGTCAGTTTTTCTGCGTGGGCGCGACCAGTTTCGTTTCTTCCCGACTTTACGTCCGGCCGTTGATCTCCGGATGCTTATCTCACCGTTTTCCTCCCCGGCCGACGCCATTCCTTCTGTCACCATGCATCACTATCGTCAGGTGTTTTCCACTCGGCTCATCTCGCCGCCGAAGCTTCCTTGCCGCCTTTGTCTCCTCCGGCGCGGCCGCCCTCCTTCCGTAATGCATCTCATCCGTCTGTGACGTGTTCGCCCGTCTGCGCACGTTTGCGTCTGTCTGACCGTCTTGTCCAATTACCGTCTTGCGGCGCGTGGTCTGCCGGCGGGTGCGGACCTTCCGCCTGCCAGCCGGCCTGCCGCGGGACGTGCCCAGATACAGCGCCCGGTCGGTCGCTCGGTCGGCCGGCCGCCTGATGAGACGCATTATATGCGGCAGGGCGTGCGGCCGCGGCCTCCTGCGGTTCAATCAGCCGCGTCGGCCGGCGCCCGGCTGATCGGCGGCGCCCCTCTTCCCGGCCCTGGCCGGCCGCCGCCAGGTGCCGGCCCACGGTTAGGGACCGCCGCTGCCAGGAGCCGGCTCTGCGCTGGTGGAGTGCTGACCTGGTAATCCGTCACATAAAGCCACTAAGTTAGAAGCGTAGAAACTGGCGAGACGAAAATACCCGTGGTGTCAGAGGTGACCTGAGCTTAATTTCTTTGCCGATCAAGAGATGCCGGCTTAGGAGTATCCGCGTATGACCTGGAGGTCGCGCGAAATAAGAGTGACCGAGGATTATCAAGACGTCCATTCCCGGCTCCCTGGGGAAGCAGAAGGCGAGGATGGAGGAAGGACATTCACGTCCGGCTCGACACATCACGCCGTATTCCGCGCGGACTCTGCAAGAGGCCATGGTGATTGGGCGATACGCGTCGCAGATCGACAGAAGGCAGTGTCAGCGCTGCTCACGGGGAGGAGAGCGGGGAGACTGGCGTGCAGAGGGAGCCGGAGCGTGCTATGGCGCCCCCGGTCCCTGGACCCTGGCTCCTGGCTCCTGGCTCCTGGCTCCTGGCTCCTGGCTCCAGGCTCCTGGCTCCCGGCTCCCGGCTCCTGCCTCCTGACTCCCGGCTCCTGCCTCCTGGCTCCCGGCTCCTGGCTCCTGGCTCCCGGCTCCTGGCGCCCGGCTCCCGGCCCAAGGCTCCGGTCCCCGACCTGGCTGGCGATCGGGCGTCGCCGTGCGCTGGCGGCGAGCCGGCCGGCCGGCCGCCGTGTCCGGCCGGCCCCTCCCCCGATCGGCGCCGCCCCTCTGGCGTGACCGCTGCCGGGCACCGCTGACGGATGGCGAGCCATTAGCCGGCGCCAATTCCGGCCCCGGGGGTGCCGCCACGCGAGGCGCCACGTCCACACGCCCTGCCCGCGGGCACGCACCGGCCGGCCAGGGCAGCGCACGAGCGGCGCCCGTGTCAGACATGGCGAGCAGGGACGCCGGCGCCTCGGTTGACGATCTGTGTACTGACGGCTCGGCCACCCCGACACAGGGAGGCGCTTCCTTCTGTTCACCGAGAGCCTGGCTGGCTGGCTAACCTGGCTGCGATTATGCGTGGCCAGACGTCACAGTAAGACTCCCTCCCACTGACCTTGGGCCCGCGGGGTGATCTGACTGACCCGGCACAATGTCGCACCGGTTGCAGCAGTGGGCGGAGCTTAGGGTAGCCTCTACCCGATCGCGATCGCGGACACGACCGCGATCACTTTTGCAGCGCGGTCTCCGGTGCAGCCGCCACCGCCAGTACGGACGCCGTCGGCGGTTTCCGTCGTCGTCCAGGGATAGCTGGTGCATGCAATTGCAGTAATGGTAGTCGTCATTTGCCGGCCGATTTCTGCCGGATTTTTTCTTTTAAAAAACTGGGTAAGCCATGTTGACAAGGTCGTGAATTCATTTCATTCATTCACTTCATCAATTCATTCATTCAATCAATTCATGCGACCGAACGAAGCCTTCGGAGACCATTCCCAGCGTGGGAGAACGGCGCGCTTGGTGTCGGCAGAAGGCGAACGGGGGGCTACCAGACGCCGCCGCGACTGAGAGCAGCGCAGGTGGTGGTCACGTGACTGGCCTGTCCGCCGGCAGCCCGGCCGGGTGAGAAGTGATACGGCGGGCCGAGCGATTTAGTAAACTGCGTCATTCGTGTGCGTACAGTTAAGTGCATTTGAGCACTGCCGTCCGAACTTGGGCTAGGTGACGTGGTTCTGTGGTGGCGCCATGGTTTATGCAATCAGTGGTGAGCCGGGTGAGGTTGCGCGAAAGGCTCAGCTCGGCTCGCCAGAGATGGCGCTTTCTGGGAAAAGAAATATGAGCGGCATACCCACACGTGTGGAGAATCTCTGCTGGCGCTTGTTATGGGCGCCAAATGGCCACCGCAGTCGGCGCGCCCGTAAACCCCGATAAACACCAAAATCTCTGCTGTCCGAGCCTGACATTTTGCATCATGTGCGTGTCGGTTCGCGAAGGGTGGACTGCAGAGCTGGGATAACGCGGAATCGGCATGGGTCGATCATTGTATATTAAATACAAGCATACCGACTGCCACTATCTCTCATTTGTATTCCGCGCCTCGCCTGCCTGATGTTTGCAGTGCTCGAGGACCAGTTCGTTGTCCGAACTCTGGTATGTTATTGTCTCCGAAGCGCCTTACCATGACGTTTATTTGTCCCGGAGTGGCCGCCTTGTGTCCAGGGCGGCGCAGCGCCCCCGAAAATCCATATCATCATCATCGTGTCGAATGTGCTTGTTCAAATTGAACGCTTCACCTGGGTGTTTGCTATGCAATGGCCTGAGCGGTGTGTGTGAGTAGATAAGACCATGCCTGGCCATGACTATTCAAGGCTATGTCTAACCGGCATGAGTGCTCGTCGCGCCCTCGCTGCCGCACCGCTGCGCGCTCTGCTCGTGGGGTGCGTCAGCAAACAGAGCGTGCGAAATCCGCGCTTGCCTGCGTACGCCCCGGTTATAAGCTAGCGAGGTGACATCCAGCTTGGGCGACACATTATTTTTGCGTGGCTCGAATTTGGCTATTTCGATGTCTTATGTTGTCTTACGCTTCTTATTGTCTTCGATGTCTTATGTTGTCTTGTCTTACTTCGATATTATGATGTCTTACGCGCCACAGTTTTCTGTGATAAGCTGTGTTATGCGCACTTGGGCCTTGCAGGCGTTTGAGACGCTTGCAAGCGTCGTAGGCGTCCTCAGTGTCAAAAATCGCTGAGGCCTCGCTGTTGACTAGGCGTCGGCATGGCACAGAGACGAGGTTTTTAAGACATTGTGTTTGCACAACATGGTATCGGCAAATTTATTGGGAGGCTTGAGCCGCCAAAACGGAATGTGCTGTCTTTTTGGTAGGGGAGGTTGTGTGAGGATAGCGAGATGTGCAGAAAAATTCGGCCCCACAATTTCGTTCCAGCCTGACGGTTTTCAACCCCAACAATCACAAAGCACGGATTAATTGCGCTTTTTGCGCTCTGCCCTCTGTTGAAACTCTACTGCCGTCAATAGTCATGATCAGAGGCACTCGTCATCATGTGGCGCGGACTACCGCGGGGGTCCCTGTTGAGGTCAAAAGTTTGATAGTATATGGCACTGTAATTATCCAAAAGCTGATAAAGATACTAATAGACCATGACATGCTACCACTTTCTGCACATAATGCTCAAAACTGTACCTTATGCTTTCCCAGTCCTTTAGAAAATTATGTCCGACAAATCATGCATGTTGTGCACTTCAACTTCTGGCGAAAAAAATGCCACAATAAACTCAGTATTCTCTGCAGCACTGTGGACGCTGTTAGTATCCTTGATGTAGCAGTTTTCACAACCACTTCACTGCAGCGACATGTCATAGCCTCTCACATTGTAGTGTTATTGAACGCCGCGGCCGCCGTGACTCACGTACTGAGTACAGGCACCTGAGGCTGTGCTGGTGTGCTTCCTGGGCCCGTGTAGCTGGGGCCCGGCCGGCCCTGACCGGCCCGCGCCCGCGCGGGTCCGTCCTCACTAAGTCTCATGTCAGACGCGCGCGCTCTGCGAGACGGCGCTGGTGACGTCCGTGTCGTGGCCAGGCAGCGTCAGCGCCGCCGCGCGGTCCCCGTGCTCCGCCGCCGCCGCCGCCGCCTCTCGCGCCGACAACAGCGGACGCTCATTGCTGTGCTCGCCTTTTTTGCAGCGATCGCGCTCATGTACCTGGCCGGCAAGTTGAGCAAGTTCGAAGTGGTGGACTGGGTGGGCCGCCAGCCGCACCACCTGCGCTGGTGGGACATGTTCGTCGAGGACATCTCCATGGAGCTGCTGGAAGGTGAGCGCGCCGCACCGGCTGCTGGAGCAGGGCGACCGCGGCAGCTTGTCCGGGGCAGTCCAGCCGTCAGCAGCGATGCGGCCCCTGCCGTGACGCGGCCTTTGGACGGCCCGATCGAAGCGCCCGGACACGTACGAACTGGCGATGTGCTCGGCTTGGGCAAGATGACCCCGGTTGCCCGGTGGGCCCGTTCTTATGCGGATCATGTTGCCAGCAGCTCGGGAGGTCCCCAGCTGATCCGAGCCAGCGGCTGATGAACGTAAATGTTGCGCCAACCCCGGTGAAATCGAGATCTGTGAGCGCTATCGGGGGTTTCACCGGCCTTGTCAGCAGCGGCGGCTGCTTGTTGCGCGCGCGAGGGCGCCGCTGCCGGACTTGAGCACACCGGCGGGTGTTCCCTGGCGTGCCGGTGCGCGCACGGCAGCGGCCGGCCGGCCAATAAGCGGCGGGCGCGCGCTCCGGCGCCGATTGCCGCCCGGTCAAGTGGCAGGGCCGGGCCGAGGGCCCTCGGTGCGGCTCGCAGCCCGGCTAGAGTGCCCCACACCCGGCGCTCTGTTGCCGGCGGCGCCCGGAGAGGCGCCGAGCGAGCGACGGCGGGCAGGGAACACTCAGCAGGTGCGTTCGAGAGCGCTGGGAGGCGCGCGCGCGCGCCTGTTGAAGACGATAGGACTGGTGGTGACGGTTGCGTAACACGGCAGCGGCGATGACGCGATCGGCCGGCGCGTCGTCGGCCGTTCAGATTGCCTGTCGAGGCGGCCGGTCCCGGGCCCGGGAGCTGATCGCGAGCCGTCCGCCACGGACTCGCCGGCGACAGGGCCGCGCGGAGGAGCCGTCAGGTCGGCGGCGGACAGGGGGCAGCCGGCGCCGACCCATGGCGGCCGAGTCCCGTGAGACGGACGGCCCTGATACGGCGCTGACAGCTGGCAAAGTGTCCCCCACCCGGAGCGGTCGGCGCCGCCAAATGGAACAGACCGTTCTAATGAAAAAGGATGCTTTGTCCTGTCGGGCCGCCACAGATTGCTGAGATGGATTCGACCCATTGCTCCTGGTGTCAGCCGTCCGGATTGTTTCATTTTCTCAGCTGGGCTTTGGTCGGCACTGGCGCCGCAGTTTTCTGCCCCGGCTGTGGCTTTGGGCCGTGGCAGGCCTGTTGAGCTCAGAGCCCGGTGGCGTGGTCGTTTGATGTCAGGGATGCAGATGTTTGTGTTATTCAAGTAAAGATGATTTTCTTTCTGGTTGAGAAGCAAATCGTCCTGCTTGAGTAGATACAATGGTGTTTCTTGCTGGCATGAGGCACAGCGTAGGATGTATTCATTACACGTTGTTAGTAAGCTGCTGCGAAATAGCTCATGAATATGTCACTCTTTGTCAGTGTATAAAACCAGCAGTTTACTGGTATGCTTGTTGGTCGTTGGACCCTGGTAGTGAGGTTAAATTGTGTCAACTCAAAAAGAATAGTAGGTCTATCTTGACTTGTTATAACCTATACCAGAAATGCTTATCTTTGACACTTAGTTGGTGGTAGTCGGGCCGTATGGGGTGTTTGACACTGCGCCTCCCTGGTGTGACCTTTGTGTGTCATCTGGAAACTCTAGGCTCATGTATTAAGGGAATGTTCGCTTTGTGTATTTATTTCTGTTCATCAGTCATACTACACAATGAAGCGGATCATAGTTTATTGATTCACCACACAGTCCGGTGTTAAAATCAACGTCGTTTTTCAAAGCATTCCAGGCACGTAGGCGGATCGTCTCTCTTTTTGTTGCTTTTTTTAGTGGTTTTGAGCAGATCGTTGAGACTTTCCGACTTGTCCTAAATGTCTGTTTACGTATTGTGTCGAAATTTGGGGTACATGACATGCACGGGAGCGGTTCCAGGGCCCGGTGTTTGGGGGGGGGGAGAAGAGGACGGCCATTGAAATTTGGTGATCATGCAAAGCTAGTTGAGGTTTTCCCTTTTTAGAGATGCAGACTTCGTCGGGACAAATCACGCGCCGTTTGGTTCATTATTATCTGCCCAGTAGTCCTCGAGATATCAGAGGAAGAGGGGGGAGGGGGGGGGGGCAGGCCGTTCCACGAGACGGCGGCCCAGTATGGGATAATTGCCACTGGCTGACGACCTTGCCGAATGCGTGGAGGTACAGCGTATGGGCGTTGGTCGCCACTGATCCTTGCCTGACCTGGCTCCATTGAGCCTTGCGTGCCTTGTCCGAGTGTGTGTGTTAGGGTAGGTGGTTGCGCGTGTGTGCGTGCAAACGTGCGTGCGTGCGTGCGTGCGTGCGCCATCGGGGCTTTGCAACGCGCTGAGATGCCAACACTGGATGGCGGTGTCTGCCCCTCACCCTGGCGGAAAGGTCGGACATCCTGGACACGCAGATTAACTAATTCACTACCGTTTACCCGCTCGTGTCGTTGTCCATGGCTCTACTATCCCCTGTGTGGCTTCTCGTGTGTCGCTCCTCTGTCGCTTGCGTGACCGGCTGTTGGTCGCTCGGTCAACCCGTGCGTGACACCGTGCATGTCTCTGTTGCAGACATCTGCCACCAGGTGCTGGACCTGTACACCCAGGCGAAGGCGGCCGGCGTCGCCACCGAAAGTCCGCCGCCGTCCGCCGTCGCCGGGCTGGCCAAGGTCGAGGCCGTCGACCCAGCCGCCTTCGTGCTCGGTGGGTACCAGCAGGGCGCAGCGCGGCCAGACAGGCTGACGTCCGAGCCGGTAGTTAGTGCTGCTCAAAGAAGGAGAAGAGCGATTATCGAGATTATTCAGGGTTAATGACATGCGGGCTGAGAAAGGTGGGCGCGGCACGGATGTGTTGGGGTGGTAGGGTGATGAGCTGGACGAATTCAGGTTTGTATTGTTGAACTGTCAACCTGTGTTGGGGGTCGTGCGAGTGCTCAGACGTCTGCTGCATGGTTTCTTTTCGGGCTCCCGTCTGAGGGAATAGCTCGCTGTAGATCACGTCGCTTGTCGTCCGGGTGAGGTAGTGGTGCCAGAGCAGGCGCTCCTTTTGTGCCATCGCGTGTTTGATGCCTGTTGACCATGCCGTTTCTCCAGGCGTCTGGATTGCGTGTGGTGAGAGTTACGGCTTGGGTGGGGCTGTTGTGTGTTGGACCGGCATCCATCGTCTGGGCGGAGCGCCGGCCGGTCGGCACCCGCTCCCCCGTCGGCACCTGCCCCGCCGCCGACCTCCTCCGGCCGTCGGCTCCCTCCTCCCCGTCCCGGCGTACGACTGTGCGCCGGGCCCCCGGCCTTGTCGCGCATCCGCCCCGCTGCTGACGCCGCTCGCCCTCTGTACAGGCGACCGCTACGCGAAGCCGGACGCTGTCCGCGCTCTCGACCTGATGGGGCCCGGCCTGCCCGCTCGCGCCGTCCGGGTCGTCGTGGCGCCGCTGATGTTGACCTTGCGCTCCGTTCGCAGCGCCGCCGGCGGCCGACGTCACGCCGAAGAAGGAGTACCGCAAGTCGACGCCCACCACGCCGCCGGGCGCGCCACCCAAGACAGAGCCGCCGGCAGCAGCGGCGGCGGCTGCGGCAGCTGCTGCTGCCGCGGCGTCGGCAGCGGCGCCTAGCTCGGCCGGGGCGACCGGCCAGCCGGCGTACGGGTACGGGTACGGGCCGCCGCCCCCCGGCTACCTGTACCCGTTCCCGCCGCCGGCGGGCGCGGCTGTGGCTCCGCCGCCGCCGCCGCCGCCGGCCGCGCCCGGCCCGGCCGCTGCCGCCGCCCCCTTCCCTCCGCAGTACCCGCCGTTCGGGTACGTGACGGTGCGCTGATGGGCTGCAGTTGGTGGTGCGGCTCGCAACATAGGTTGTTTGTACGTACACGATGCATATGTTCGTTGCTGTGGTTAAATATATCAATCTTGTATCGCTTTAGTCCTTATGCAGCTTCTGGGAAGTCCATGGCTTACCGATGTTGGTGCCGAATAAACAGAATATTTTTTTTGCGGTGATTGCTGCCGTCATGCTAAAGAAGCCGTGAAAATGTCGCGCAAATTTTATCTTCTTCTCCGTCAAGTTTACAAATGATGTTCATGCATGGATTCGTGGGGTGCCTGGACAGTTGTTTGGACCCGGTGCCGGTGCACTGCAGGTTCCCGCCGGCGCCGGCTGACAGCAAGGCTCCGCCAGCGGCGCCGCCGCCGCCGCCACCGCCGCCACCGCCGGCCGCCAAGTACCCGCCGCCGCCGCCGCCGAACGCGTCCGTGCCGCCGCCGCCGAGCAGCGCGCCGCCGCCGCCGCCTCCGCCGCCGCACCCGCACCCGCCGTTCCCGCCGGGTCCGTCGTCGGGCCCGCCGCCTCGAGGGTAGGTGCCGGCGCGGGGCTCGGTGCCGGCCGCCGGTGGAGGGCTCCGCGGCGCGGTCTCGTCCTAACAGTGGCCACTGGCATCGCCGGGCCCGTGGCCGGCTGCCGAGAAGCATGGCCAAGGTGGCGGACTGGCTCGGAGAAAACATCGGAGAATGCCTCCCGTCCTCTTCAGGCTGTGGCTATGGACACTGACCAGGGCAGGTCGCCCTCACAGCAGCTTGGTTTGCGGTGTACAGCGCGTAACAACCCTGACCTTTTACCCGGTCTAGTGTGGTCCGTCGCGAGTTTAGATCCTGACCCGAAGTTTGGTGTGGATTTGTAGCATATGCATGCGATCCAGGGTTTCCTTGGAACGACGCACGGCGATTCAGCTGGTGATAGAGAGCGTTGCATGTTCTTTTCAAGTTTGTTGAGCTTCCATTGCGAGATGCTGGTTCGAGGTTGCTGTCCCCGCTTGTTGTGCGTGTCTTACCATGCCTTTCCTTGTGCTTTCGGGCGGCTTCTGCGCATGGTAGCATTCGGCGTGTTTGTGTGTGACAGGGCATGCCGTGTGAACGCCTCCCATCGTGCGAACGCGACACATGCTCGCATGCGCGTGTGACCCCCTGCCCATGCACGCGCGCGGGTTTTGTGACTGCTGCTCACGCGGGCGCGCTCCCGGCCGACCCGTGCTTGTCCGGGCGGTGTTGAGTGTGAGTACCTAAGCACCAGCGGCGTCGCTGCCTGCCCCGTCCTCAGCTCGTTATGCGGCGTCTCCGGCGGGCATGCGCCCGGCTCCCCACACCCGTCCTCGCCTGCGCGTCATCGCCGCGGCCGCCGCATCCGCGATGCTGGCCGGATTGGACCACCGCGCGCCGTCCCGTTCCTTTCGTCGCAATACATACGTGAGGTGATTAGTTACCGTCCTGTCGTGTCCCCACCCCGGACAAGGCGGCCGCCCGGCCTCTGGCGGCACGCATCGGACTACGCGCCCTCCCGCTCGCACCGGCTGGTGAGCGCCTGTCAGCGTGGACAATCGCAGCTGTTCGGGCGCCGGACAGCGCCGTCGTGCCGGCGCTCTGGTCTAAATGGCGCAAGTCGTCGCGACGCGTTACTCATTTAAGGCTGTCCCCGGCTCGGCATTGTGCTCTTGCAGGTCGATTTTGGTTCGTCCGCGGGTAATTCACGGTGAAGAGCGTTGGGCCGTTTTGTGGACGGTTGTTGCAGTTCGTAAATGAGCGTTTGGATTGCGACACGTGCCAGTGATCGAAAGAATGAGACACGTTCTCAGCGCACCTTTCCGCGTGAGCCCCGACAAGAGGGCCGGTGCGTGCGCTGGGCGGGTCCGCTCGTGTTGCTCCGTGTCCGGGGGCGGGGACGGGCGTGCGGCGCGCCGGGGCAGCGAGGCACATCCGTCAGCACGCGCAGCCATTCGCCGTTGGCTCGCGCCTGATCCGATCCTATCTAATGATCCCGACTAATGTTATCGGCGGCGAGTGCCGTCGGCGGCGCTGCCGGATCCTCGGAGCCGAGCCGCAGCCGGAGTGGCTCCGAAGCCGCCAATCAACGCAACAGCCCACCGCGGCGCCGTGCCGACGCTAGCGCGCCCATGAACGCACGATTAATAACCACAAATCACGTGCCGCGTCAGTCCGCAGTGGGGAGGGGTGCGACGCCGCGACCGCGGGCCGTTCGTATTACGCGGCTGCGCTGCTGACGGATGGGGAGTGGGGCCAGCATTAGGCTGCGACAGTAATCGTTGTTATGCATCGACGCATCTCCTGCCTCGGACATTAGTGTTGCAGGGTCTCGCGCCGGCCGTGATTGGGCCAGTGAGATATGCATGTATGCATTGCGCCCGGTTCGAACGCGGATACCGGAGTGCGGAGTCCGATTCGCCATCCATCGCGGCGATTACCCGACGCTACGCGCCGTGGTGAGCAGATAAAAGCAGGAATGGCACTCCCTGCCCCTGTGTCGGTGGGGGGTGCGGCGGTGCGTCCCTCTGATGTAGAGCCAGGTGTATGCAGAGGAAGAAGGAATAAGAACATGTTTTATATGTGTCAGCCGACGGAAGGCACTTTTGGTATTGCATTTCTATGATTCGGGTGGATCGCTGGGGAGGGGAAGGGTCGCTGGCATTGCTCGTCTTTGTCGGCTGCTAGGAGGCGGGTCGAATACCATTCGTCAGAACGGCGCCAAATTGGCTGGCAAATGGGCGCCAATCACTCTCGGATATTATCGTCCGCCCCCGCCCCCTCCCACACCCCCGCACCGCCAGCCGTGATGGGCGCCGCCCATGTGTTAGCGCAGCCCGCCGGCGAGCTGGATGTGGGGCGGCGAGGAGCACGGAAATCTCGGGCCACGTGGAGAGTATCCGGCCAGCGAGCGGCCGGCCAGTCCCCGGCGGCACGGCGCCGTCGCCAGCCCGGCTCGCACCGGCAGCTGGGAGGCAGCCGGTCGGCAGACGTGCCCTCTGCACCCGCTGCCGGCGCCGCGCGCGCAGCCGGCCTCGTTACCGGTCATTTCTATTCGGGCCGGTGGCGGCGGCGGCGGCGCCGTCTGTCGTCCGCGGGACCGACAGACGGCCGGCCCTCGGGGACCGATCGGACCGAATTGAGGAGCGCCGGTGCCGGCCGGCCGGCACGGCGCGTGCTTACATTAGCCGCCGGCCGACGGTGCGCACGGAAAAACGGACCGAGATGGCGCAGCGAGCGACGCGCTGGTCGTGGCGGCAGGCCGGGCCGCCGCTGGATGGAGGCGTTCGGATTGAGCGGACTGGATGCGCCGTTTCTCCGGCGGCGCACGTTGCGACAGGTGATGTGGGACCGCGCTGCGAAGACCCGGGTTCCGGTTTGCCCGTGCTGTTCCGCATAAAACTTCCCGCCACGAGGTTTTTCGTGTATCGGGAGGCGCGCATCTGTCGGTGCGTACGCCGTATACACAGAGGACGAATTTTAGTCTGTTGAGTTCCGCCTACTTGCAGGAAACCAGAGACTGGCGTTTTGGTACAGTGGGCCGTCACAGGCTGACCCCTGTGCTGTTCAGATAGGTGACGGACGGACATCGCGTGTACGAAAAGCCACCAGACAGCACCTGTAGACAGCAGACCGACAGCACTTGTACTGTAGGTCACACACTGGCAATGCTGGCAACGTCTAACGGCTGAGCGGCTGCCCCGGTCTGCCGCCAGTGCTCTGTGGCTCTTGTGCGGCAGTGTGAGTAGCCTGTGCCGCGCCGCAAACACCCGCGGCTGCCCCTCGGCTGTCTCCTCACGTCCGCCCCGAACGGGACGCCACAGCGGGCCCATCCGTCCTCATTGATGGCCCTGTCTTGTTCGCCTGGGCGCAAAATGACCTTAGAAGTCGGCGCGCCCTAAAACCTCAATCATCATCATCATGTCTCGTTTGCCATGCCACAAAGGCGCCGTCAGCAGCCGCCTCGGAGCACCGCGGAAGCCGCACCGGAGCCGCACCGGAGCCTCCCCGGAGCAGCGCGAAAGCCTCTTCGGAGGAGCCGCAGGAGCCATCCCGGAGTCGGCTGGGGCCAGTGCCGCCCGGAGACGAGTCTTGCGTCGTTGCTGATGACCCGGTCGTGTTTCAGGTACTTCCCGCCGCAGGGCGGACCGCCGCCAGGCTTCCGGCCGCCGGGTCCGGGCTTTCCGCCGGCGCACCGGCCGTTCTGAGCGCCGCTCCAGACCGCACAGGACCGCCGGCCGCGCACGGGACCGGACCAGCCCGGCGACACCGGCGGACACCCCCAGCCGGCGAAGGAGGGGGGCCGTTTTGGTGCGGCGCGGCCGGGGTGCCCCCTCCCACCGCCCGGGCGAAAGGCTGAGCTCTAGCCCTGGGGCGCGCGTTGCGGCCCGCTGCGGACGGCGCGCCGTCTGTGTGTGAGAGACTGGAGAGCTGGCCGTGGTCCGCGCTCGGTGGTGCGAGCTCAGCTCACGTCCGCGCTCGGTGGTGCGAGCTCAGCTCACGTCCGCGCTCGGTGGTGCCAGCTCGTGCTCACGTTCGCGCTCGGTGGTGTGAGCTCAGCTCACGTCTGCGCTCGGTGGTGCGAGCTCACACTCACGTCCACGCTCGGTTGTGCGAGCTAACGCTCGTGTCCGCGCTCGGTGGTGCGAGCTCCGCGCGCGTCCGCACCCGTCCCTGGCTCCATCAGGCCGTTGTTTTTATACGAAGCCATGTTTCTGAGTGTGTGTGTGGTACGCCAGTCACCATTTGCGACGTCGTGTTGTCGAAGCCGTCTTGTTTTCTTTGTTCTGTCGGCGTCCATAGCCATGGCGGTCAGGAGACTGACTTGCAACGAGCGGCGCACGATCTGGTGCCCCAGCACCAGATCGTTTGGTTTGGAGACGTGTAATGGTTTGGTATCGCCGGCCATCCCACGTGCCGCGGCTGTCGCTGAGGGCGCTTTGGTGTATCGTCCGCCATCTGCGGTGGAATACATATTGTACGATCGTAGAGGACTCGTGCCAGAGCTGG